CTTTGTCATGACCTGACCGTGGAAGAGGGGAATGAAGGGGGATCCTCGATTAGGATCTCCAGATCGCCCTGGCCAACCTGCTGAAGCACGAGTCGTCTTTCTCTGGGCCCGTTCCTTGGAGAGCTCCATCGTAGTGGCGCTCACAAAGGCGACAGAAGTCCGCAGGTCGCTTCGCTGGTTATGAGGTCTCTTTAAAGACGGAAGTGTGGAAGATGTGTTTGAATCCCCCTCTGGTTGTTTCTCTGGCTCTGGTCCCTGAAATAGAATTACAAGAATGTAAATCTATCGCTGGTATACTGTAGAATATTATGAACAAACTGACAACTGCGTTCATAAATTAAATTAAAAATTAATTAATAAAATGCCTTTAGTGTAATACCACCCAGTGAGCACAAGACGTATTTTCAACGGTGAAATATGGTTGAAATCGGGTTGAACTGAGGTCTGAACTCTAACACCTCATTTCAACGTCATGTCAACCGGCTAAAAAGTGGATGAAACATCAACGTGCTGGAAAATGTCAATTTGTTGATAAATGTGTCATGTTGTAACGTTGGCTGAAAGAGAGACAATATTAACGTTAAGACTTTCAGAATAATTAATTAACTGGTCGGTGAAATTTCAAACATTACTTGTAAACATGTAACTCCGCTCACATCTGTAACGCGCATGCACGAGTTCTTAGACGGCTGCAGAGCTCCGACCGGGTGCAGCACGAGGCGAAGTTACGGCAGCAGAGCGACATGAACGGGCTGATAGAACCACGACCACCGGCTCCACTGCTCTGTAAGTACGGGAGTGTTTGAATGAAGCACACCTGGAACTATAACCGGGTGTTTTACTTGTGCTGCCGACCCGATACGGGAAAGACGGTCCTTTTTGTTAAGCTAGTTAGCGTTAGCGCAGGTAGTTTGCTAGTTAGCATGCTAGCGTGCAGCATGATGACCTGGACCAAAAGTAAACATCCCAGAATATTTTCGTGTGTTTCGTGTTGCTAATGCGTTAGGTTGTTGCTGTACCCATAAATATTATTGCCTTTGACTCCCTTCACACAAAGAATCGTCAAGTGAAGATGAGGGAGATGCAGCTGATTTCAGGTAAACTCTCCCAATTCAAGTGACTCAGAGCCACATCTGGTTACGGATCTGAAAATTAACTCCCAACACAGAATTGTAAACTAACTTGTCCATGTGGTTTCTGCACTTTTAATTTCATAGTTCATTTCCCTGAAATATATTTCATTAAGTGTTATATGTACAATAAATACAAATTAATGAAAATGTGTTTTTCCTTGTTACGGGCTGTTCACATGACAACTGACTAAGTATGTAACTTGTACGTTTCCAGAGAGCAATTTACCCGTTGAGAAGAGGTTACAAATTGGTTTAAAAGTGAGTTGTTTTCAACGTGATCTTTACCACCGGTGGTAAACAAATGTGGACGTTTCTTTTTTTAAATGCTGGAACGAGCTCTGATGACGACACCAGGACCACAGAGAGCCTTCACATCTTCCGCCGCAAACTAAAGACGCACCTCTTCAGACTCTACCTCCACTATAAGCACAATTTATCTATTGTAATTTGGCTTATGAGGAAATTGCACTCTTGTTCGGAGTTTCTATGGTTGAATGTACTTTGGATAAAAGTCGCTTTGGATAAAAGCACCAGCTAAATGATTTAAATGTAATAAAATCTCTAAAATGATATAGCAAAGACTAAATATTACCGTATTAATAAAAACACGTTGAAATGGTCTAAAAATGTCTACGAATAGTTGAGAAAACATTCACTTTCAAACCATTTTGCAATGTCTTTTCAACCACAAAACGCTCGCTGCACTGTATCCTATGCAATAGAAAAATAAGTCCTTGTGTATGTAGCGACACGAGATGTATGGAAGAGGGCAGTTTAAATATTCTGGTGTTGCCAGACAATCCCACCCTGGGAATTGTTTTCAGCAGTGCTCCTTTATACCGCATTGACATGCAGCGATTGGCTGTGATCCAGCTGAAAGGACCAATCACTGCATACTGTCATACATACAAGTTAATAAATGTTTGCTGTTGTGTTTTTTATTGACAACATCGATGGAATCTCCTCTGCCTTACATGGAAGCCGAAATTATGACATAAAATGTCAAAATGATGAGATGAGAAGTCAAAATTATGACTCGGTTGGTGACTACGGTCTACGGCCACACAGAGTTTAACAACCTCTCGCTGTGAATATCTTGCCAACTTCAGCGAACTGTAAACGTTCTACGTCCGAAATAAGTCGAACTTCTAGGGAGATAAATTAAACTTATTTTAAACCCTCTTCAACCAGTAACAAGACATGTCAGAATTGTTCCATAAACTCTCATAAAGATGAATAATATCAAGTCAATCTAAACAAATAATATAAATATGACAGATTGAAGGTGAATGTAAAAATCAGGAATCAGGAAACATTACCAAAATATGCCAAACATACAAGGAATTTGTCTTGGCGGTTAGTGCGCGACAGACAAGACAGCAGTTCACAAGTAATAAAATTAAGTAAAATGAAATGCTAATGCAATGGATTAGTAGAATAAGGCTATGGGTTAGTATAAAACAAGGGAATAAAGTTAAAAATTGTATTTATTAAGAAATTAAAAAAAAAAAAATTAAGCATAAAGTGCACTAACAAGGAGAGAAAAAAAAAAAGGAGCGTGAGAACTAAAACAGACCACAAAACCGACAGAAAATGAACCCGGATCACGGAAAGATCACAAACATCTACAAGGAAATAAATAACATCTATTAGAAATATATATTATGAGGCATATTTGATTTGAAGCCCATTAAAGAGCAGCGGTGGAAGAATGTTTACTTCAGTAGAAATACAGTAATACCAGTGTAAAATTACTCTGTGAGAGTCATGTAAATGTATTACTCTTTATGCAGAGTGGTGCATTTCACCTAAAAAATAAATATATATATATATATTATATAATATATAGCATGAATGTTCATCACATTAATGCTGCAGATGAGCTCATTTAACTTTATCTGCTGGATAATTTGCGAAAAAAATTCGTATCACCGTAATCTATTTTATTACGCAATCATTTATTTATTATCTTGTTTTTCCAATCTGAATCTGCAAAACAACAAAATCATACTTAATTGAGTAAAGACATAAAAGTGTATGAATGTACATCACTAAGGACTAAGTATTTTGAACAAACCAAAGTTCTGATTCTCTCAAACACACCTGTTATTAGAAGTCACGGACGTTCTCCCTCCAGGGGTCTGTTCAAAGAAGCAGGTTCAGTGGAACCACACAGGGTCAGTCACCGTGGTAACTGAGCCTGTGAACCGAACCTGGTCAGAGGCAGGTTTTAGTTCTCCTTCCACAGGCTCCTCCCTCTGACAGCAGCCCGGCCAATCACACAGCCGCGCTTTCAGACTAAAGTGTTTTCTCGGACATGACACGTCCTTTTCTGGACGATCCTGTTGATGAAGAAGCGGTTTTACTTCTCAGGCTGTTAAACACGTCGGGAGAGAATATTGAGGCCTGATTAGATGTATTGTCATTTACAGATATCTACTTGTTTGAACGGTATCGTTTTTCTTCACAGTCCATCCAATATGTTCATGACCTCACCCGTCCTCATATAAATAACGTCCCCCATCGTGGACGTGCTCTCACACACGAGCACATTCTTTGTGTAGTATTACGTTTTTTCCTTTACAGAATATTAGTAAAGCTGCTGTATGCAGAGCCGTGAGAAACATTTGCGTCGCTCTGAAACGTCTTTTACATTTTTTTGTTCCCTGGACACAAACCAGTGGGACATTAAAGAGGAGTTCCATGCACCTGAATAAAAGACTTTAATGTAATGCAATTTAATTATAGGTCCAATATCATTGTACCAGTTTTTACCAGCGATATTCCATCCATCCATCTTCAGGCGGTTATCCGGGGTCGGGTCGCGGGGGCAACAGCTCCAGCAGGGGACCCCAAACTTCCCTTTCGGGCCACATCTACCAGCTCTGACTGGGGGATCCAAGGCGTTCCCAGGCCAGTGCAGAGATGTAATCTCTCCATCTAGTCCTGGTCTTCCCCGGGGCCTCTTCCCAGCTGGCCGTGCCTGGAACACCTCCCTAGGGAGGCGCCCAGGGGGCGTCCTCACCAGATGCCCAAACCACCTCAACTGGCTCCTTTCGACGCAAAGGAGCAGCGGCTCTACTCCGAGCTCCTCACGACTGGCTGAGCTTCTCACCCGATCCCTAAGGGAGACGCCAGCCACTCTCCTGAGGAAACCCATTTCGGCCGCTTGTACCCGTGACCTAGTTCTTTGGGTTATGACCCGTCCTTCATGACCATAGGTGAGGGTAGGAACGAAGATTGACCGGTAGATCGAGAGCTTTGCCTTCCGGCTCCAGTGATATTATTCTTGTGATTAAATGAGCCTGTGTGTGTAGTGCATTCTAACAGAGTAAAACATTTAATTTTCCCACTGGGAATTAGTAAAACGTATGGATTATGATTAGTTTGTACATTAAATATGAACTGACAACATTCCATTGAAACTTTCGCGTGGACCTGAGCAGCAATTTTCTCCCACGCCGTTTCCCTGTCTTTTTTTCTAATTATGGGTTCATACTCGCCGTACGCTCACATTAACATTTCCAGCTCAACAGGGGTGAATATATTGTTTGTGGTGGTTGCCATGGTAAGTGGTAAGTTTGTTAAACCTCCTACATGAAACGGACCCCAGGAAGTCAGATAGAGCTCTTCTGGGAACAGAAAGTTAAGTCTCGACCTGCGTGTTCAATTCTATGTGCTGAGGTCAGTGTGTGACACGTACATTTAACGTGGGTGTGAAAAACGAAAAGATTGTGGAAGTTACGGAACGATTCACATGACTCTACGTGACGTGTTGGTTACTTGCAATTTATTTCTTTTGTTTATTTAAAAAATGCAACGTGTGCATAAGTCACTTTGTAAAAGAAGTTTCATCTCTGCTGAACAGATGTTAGTTATGTGTCTCAAATTATTCTTTATTTCTAAAAAGAATTTCTGTGCGATACAGTTCAAATTTAACAAATACTAAATTAGGGAATCTTAAAAAAATATTTTCATCACTCAAGACGTAGAAGGAACAATAAAACAACAATATAACAAACTCAGGAAGAACAACATGGAAATGGATTAAATCCACCGTCTAGTCAGTGATGATTCTCGTCTCAGACTTCAGGACCTTCTCCTCCAGGGATGAGCTGCAAAGAAACATGTAGATATAAATCATGAAGGTCAGGAGGAGGTCGGGTGGGACAGGCGGCGTGTTTACACACCATGGTGATGTTGTTGCCGTTGAGGAGGATCTGGTCCAGTTTGGTGATCCTCCGTCCCTCCGGTGTGATTTCACTGGAACGAGAGATTTATATCGAGTTAATTAACAGTCGACTCACAAAGAACTTAATTTAACAAAAAAAACAAGAGGCGTTCTCACAATTCTGTCACATCCTCGAGGACCATATCTGAAAGTGCAGAGTTAAGTACCAAGAGAGAGCAGAACAATGAGGACAGTTTGTTACAAACGCTGATTTGGGATAAAACTGGAAAGGATACTGACGAAGTCGTCGAAGCCCAGCAGGGTGCCGACGATTTCTTTGTCTGTTTTCATGACGATGTGAATTCGGGAGCCGATGCATTTGTCCACGAGCTCTGAAAAGAGAGACGCAGAGTTATTTTGTCTTTGCACTATTTGAGGTTAAACCCTTTGAATTTTAGAGTGTAAATGATCCACAGAATCAAAAAATTATATTTGATTATTTCAATAATATTTTAAGAAAAGATGTGTTTTTGATGTGAGGGTCGTATTGCTCGTTGGGCATTTTTCATAATTGTTGAACAAAATGATGTTTATTAAGAAACCAATCCTAGAAGAATCTAACGTTAAAGAAAGCAGTTACTTTTTCAAATATTCTGTTCCTAAATACAATGATTTAATGCCACTACGCACTTTTACCCAATAATTATTTTTATTGTCAATCTGTTGGTCATTTTTTTAAAATCAATTATTTTGTCCTTAACAGTGTTCATTTTGGAAGCTATTTTTGATCTTAGTCTTTCGACGAAATTGCATTTAAGTTTTAGGATGGAGTGTTTGTGTGAGCTATAATAAATTACATGTGTAAAGCTTCGTTGACATCATGAGGACCAGAGACCTAAACGCAACACTTGTTGTTTTTGTCCATTTAGTCGCAACGCTTTTGACATGGCAACCGGAAATCTCAATCAGTGCAATAATTTATTTTGCCAGATCATAAACCAGAAATCCTCAACTAGGCCTCCACTTCTCATTCAACAGTCTTTTCTTTCTCTTTGTCGGTTTCATGACCAGTTCTTCTCTCTTGTGTCCTGCGGGTTTTCCTCTACCTGCACTGCGCGGTTCTATCAAAAGGATCCACCTGTCACGTGTGTGGCGCCTCTTTGTTGCTTACGGTGGCCGAGACGGTTTAACACAGTCTTCTCACGATGTGGCGCGTGAACTATAGTTGAAATGCGTGAGGCTTCAGAACCCGCAATGAGTTTATTACGTTAGACGCGTTTGTGACGGAGCGTCTCATCCAGCGAGGAAACGCTGCCTGCCGTCGTCAGAGAACAGAGCAGAAAGGTCCGACAGTCTTTAAACGCGTCTTCATGTTTCTGTGAAGCAGCGCGGCTTCAGCCCGCTAACAGGCAGCTAACCCGAGACAGCCGAGCTAAACTAACGAAGCCACGTTCAAACCCGCCGAAGCGTAAAATAGTCGTCGCGGTCCGTAGTCGGTGCACAAGAACCACCGCTGGGAGCGCGCGTTCTTGGTTCGTGGATGACGTCATCATGACGCGTTAATATCCGCCGTTACATTACAGGTGCGTGCTCGTGAGAAAGAGACTTAATTCCACCCGCATTTGGCATCAAGCACTGACCAGAAGTTTACATTTCAGTGATACCAACATTGAAATAAAATAAAAAGTATTGTGACTTCGTCAACCACCAACATTTGTCACGTCAGTTTTTATTTTCAAAGATCCGTTTTCGTCACGTCTTAAGTCTCGTGGAAAAAAAGATTTAACGAATATTTTTTGTCATAGTTTTCGTCGACGAAATTAACACTAGTCCTTAATATGTACAATTCTTTAAACGGAATAAATAAAATGTTTTTGTTCAGTTAATACTCTACTGCATTGGCAATGCTATTTAAATTAGTGTGTATACACACACACACACACACACACACACACACGTTTAAATGGACTGTTCCACTCATTTCTATAATAAGCTGTTTGAGGTTGAACTGATTTCAAACCATCAACTAGTGATTAATTTCACTCAAGTTTGATCACCTGCTAGTTTTGTTTGTAAATTGGGTAAAAAGGCCTTAATACTTTATTGAATAAGTTGAAGGTGGAACCATCAAATATTTCTGCGTTAACCAATTAAGTAAGTTTCCAGTACATTTTTAAATCAACTAATCATTTCTAATCACTTAGTACATTACCAACACTCCTAATAGACTTTGAGTGCAAAGAAAACGCCACGCATAACACGTTGTATAACTTGAAGAGGTGTTCTGTTACTCTGTATTGTGATAATTGCACTAGCAAAGAAAGCTAACGTATCACCGACCATCCCGCCTTGGTACTTTGGAGCATGGTGCTAACGTTAGCTAGCTAACAAAACCTCCCAAATATCTGAACTACCGCCAACGGACTCCAACTTTAAATAGTGAAACATAATGAGCTGTTTGACAGAGTAAGTCGACATATGTTAGAATTTACAAACCAAGTGGGAGCAGCTGAGACGGATTCGTGGTTGGAGTAGCCGCCATGTTCATTCAACTGGCAGCAGGCAGGAGCAATCGACAGACGAACGTCACTAATCAGGTGAAAGCAATCGAAACCAGAATCAATCGTCCAATTCACAGCGCTAAAAGATCCGTTTGAATAGTATTTTATTTTTTATCTGAAATATAAAAAACACATAGTTGAATAAGTGTAAGAGAAACTGAGATGACTCAGTAATTTAATTGTATTTTTCAATTGATTTCCACACGATGGCGCCGGCTGTGCTCATCAATACATGACGTAATGAATGACTCTAGCAAAGATAAACGAGTCCGGATCAAGATGGATCCCCGCAGCGGTGCTCTGCCCGGTCCAGCAGTGTGTGTTATTTAATTAAATGTTTTCATTTTTATAGGTAAAGGCATATGGCACCTTTTACTGCACTCAATTTCTTCATATCTTGTTTCTTTCTTGTGTCTTACAACTATGGTTAGTTACTTTGAACAACAATATTTCACATCATCAAACATGATCATCTAGTACAAAATATGAAAAATTGAGATATAACAAACTATTAACAATTTACAAAGTCATGAATTAGACACTCAAATTAGCTACAACAATAAAATCAGAATGCATTTTGATATTGGCTGTTTTCGGAAATGTTACGCTTCAAGAAATTTCGTTGTGTTTTGTGTAATGTTTCATGGAATGAAATTTGTGGTAAACTTGTGTCGTGTGGTTTTGTGAAATGTGGTGTTTTTCCCCCTAAAATTTTCAAATGTTTTTTGTCCGTTGCAATTACCAAGCCTTTTATTAGCCTTATTCACAGATATTTAATTCATCATTAATTATTTCAGTTTTTCAGTATTTGTTATTTTGCCTTTTTTGGCGGAAGTGCGCGACAGGGAGCACTCTCGCTTCCGCTCGTCCTCTGACGCGTTGGGACGAAGCGGAAGAGAGAATCCGCGGCGGTGGTTCGTGTTCGCGGAACCAGTGCGCGCGCGTGGGAGGGTCGCAGAGAGTCGGTTTGTGTCCGGGACAGTGTTTACATCCGACCCCCCGTCCGTAGAGGCGGAGGAGGGGCCCCGGCATGGAGTCTCACTGCAGGGACGAGCCGAAGGGACCCGTGCTGCACATCGTGGTGGTCGGATTTCACCACAAAAAGGGCTGTCAGGTGCGCATGAACCTTTTGCTCGATGGAAGCTAACGCGGCTAGCCGCTAACGAGCCCGTCGGCTCCATAAAGGCACGTTTCCGCCTTTGTGTCCTCGCGGATTGACTGAGTGAACTGGTCATCCGGGTCCTCGCAGGGGTGATTGTGGTTATTCACGTATTCATCAGCATCAGCTGTTCGCTTCGGGCTCTGCGGGGTTATGTAACATGTGCTCGGCTGACTCTTTGCGCATCTTTCCGCTCCAGTCAACAAGCAAGCAAGCAGCTGTGTGTGTGTGTGTGTGTGTGTGTGTGTGTTTTCCTAAATACAAACTGCATCTTGCCCTTCTGTTATTAACCCGGTGGCTGATTTAGGACCCGGATGTCAACTTGAGGAGGTTACAGGTCTTTTCTCTCAATAACAACAGTTATAGTTTGGGACACCTGCTCCTCTGGGACATTTACAAGCTTCCTCGTCTCTTGCAGCAGAAGCAGAAGATATTATAACAAATATTTTCCTTAAACTAGTATTTCTAATTATATATCTTACATTTCTTATTTTTAATATAGAAAAGAATCCGACTGTTGTCCTCAGCTAATTGGCAGCTGTTTTGATACAGAATTACTTTCAAGATATTCAATATTATTAAGTTGCAAACTCTCCAACGTAAAGGTGTGTTTTATATCATCATCAAACAGATCGCGTTTGGGTTCTGAACTGCTTTCATTCACTCAAAGGAGCGATAGAATTAGGAGAAAAGCGTCTTTATAATCATTTATTAATATAAAACTGTATTGATCAATAACTGTATTGATCACCTGCCACTCTGAAGGGACGGTGGGTCATTTACTCCTAGTACACTGTGGAAATTATGTACAATATCTACTTCTGAGATGCAGTAAGAAGTACCATGTAGAAGAGGCGGGGCTCCAACATATTGAGGTCAATGAATAAAAAGCCTCCATTTATTTCTTACAACATTGGTGACACTTGTGGACACTTACCCAAATGTTTGTCAAATTAAATTGAGCTGATTATATTAAAAGTCAAGCATTCAGAGAGAACAATGTGTTTTGGGGGTTAATTGATAAGTTTATTAGTTTTTGCAAATGCTGTAATACCTGTTCCACCTCTGGACAAACACACTGTGAAATACCACTAAATTAACAAAATCGTATTTTTTTAAGTACGATGTAAAAGAACGAATGATTCCGTCGAATGGGAATAAAAGAACCGACGTGCTGACCTTGTGTCCCCGACCTTCAGGTGGAATTCTCGTACCCGCCGCTGATGCCCGCCGAGGGTCACGACAGCCCCCTGCTGCCGGAGGAGTGGAGGTACCTCCCCTTCCTGGCGCTGCCCGACGGAGCGCACAACTTCCAGGAAGGTAGGCCGCACGAAGAGTCCTTCATGGTGTCGTTTCTCTGTAGGATTACATTCCTGTGGAATAAAAGCTCCCCGGTTCTCTTAATACGAGTGTTTTTATTGTCTCTCGTTGTGAGGGAGACCTTTGTAAAAACATTTATGCTGCTGTTAAGTGGAAAAAGGCTCCTTTGTTTTGATAGAAGTTCAGCTGAACTTGGAGACAGTGAATCATGTGACAGTGAATCATGTGACAGTCCCTTGGTTCCGAGCCAAAGGGGAGGAGCTGAAAACCGACACCTGATCAAACACGATCCGCCTCGCCGATGTTCCCTCGATCTAAATCTTTCATCTCATCGTCTTTTGGGTCCCTTTTGTTTTCCGCCGCTCCAGCTGACGGTCAGCTGATTTTAAAACAACAACAACAACAACAACAACAAGCCAGCGGGGATGTGAGCGAGTGCCTCTGCGGGTAGAGACGGCAGTCACACTGACGTCCCAGAAAGCGTCGCGCACTCACACACACTCACACACACACACACACACACACACACACACGCCATTAATGAAATGAGACCTCATTGTAAATAAATAATGGCATAATGACCCAACGTGCCTTCTCTTGTTTTTTATTCTTTAACCAACAAGTAGCTTGTCCGATCCCTCCCGAGTCCTTTCCCTCTTGCAGGTGCGTGCGTGCGTGCGTGCAGGTGCGTGCGTGCAGGTGCGTGCGTGCAGGTGCGTGCATCGCTGCGGCTCATTCTGCACGTTGGCCGTGTTTGTTTTTGACACGTAACTCGTCTCTGCATAAACTGAGTTCTTCACTCGCTTTGCGGAGCATCGCCGGGTCAGAAGAGCCAGAAAAACCTGCCGGTTTGCATTCTGCAAATCCGGGCGGACGTCCTGGTGCTTTAGAGACGCCGTTTATCTGGACATGCCAGAGCGTCTTCTGGAGGACAACGCGGTGTGAGTTAACAAGGAAGGAGGATGGAGGCGCTGCCAGTAAGGAGAAGATGTTCTCGTAGAAGCAGCACATTGGAAACACGGGATAATTCAGTGCATGAAAAACAATTAGACTTTTAATTGGGTCTGAAAAGACGGTGTAAATTGAACAAGCAAATGAGCAGTTTATAAATAAAATGAAAAGAGTTGACTTGGTTGTGTGGGTTGGTGTGTGAGTTGATGCTCTACTGCAGGTGAGACGTCCACGTGTCTCCTGTGACGCCGGCGTGGTTCTGTGTTGCAGACACGGTGTTTTTTCATCTGCCGCCGCTGAGTGAAGACAGGAAGTGCGTCTACGGGGTTTCCTGTTATCGCCAAATCGAAGCAAAGGTCCGACATCATCTTCTTTGTTTTTAGTCAAAGTATTTGATCGATATTTGAGTCATTCAGCATAAGAAACCAGCAACTACACGAACTACACTGCCTCATGTTACATACTGATCACGTCTTTATTCCACCATCAGGCCCTGAAGGTGCGACAGGCCGACGTCACCAGGGAGACGGTGCAGAAGAGCGTCTGCGTCCTCAGTCGAGTGGTGAGTCGGCGGTGACCCCGGGTTACATTGTGACCTGGATGTGACCTCAGTTGTCTCCAGCTGTTATCTTCCTCTAAGAAGACAAAGGACCATCATGCTGCTGAACAGGATGAGGATGCTTAAGTAACCTACTCTTGATCCGCAGCCTCTCTACGGTTTGCTTCAGGCTAAACTGCAGCTCATCACACACGCCTACTTCGAGGAGAAAGACTTCTCACAGATCTCCATTTTAAAGGTGGGAATATATATTATATATCTGTGTTTACCTTCGTTTAGTGTTGAGTTATGGCCTCATCTCGACCCCCCCCCCCCCCCTGCAGGAGCTGTACGACCACATGAACGGCTCGCTGAGGGGCTCGGCCCTGGAGGGGTCTCAGGTGTATCTCGGTGGGTGGAGACTCGTTTACTCTATTTTCTCTGCGTGCATTGTGTTATATAGCGTAGCTTTATATACATCGTGTACATATTAATGGGTCCTTTTAACAGCCATGAAACACAAAGTTCATTTTACAATAGTGAAATCTTTCTAAAGGAGTTAATATAAATTGTTTTGTTTTCTTGATTTTCACATTTGTACATTTTAACTGGAAGAAGATTATTATTTCATACCTGCTTCAGGTGTGAGATGAGTCTGAATAGTTCCATTCCAGATGTTCTACTGAGATAGTTGTGGTTCTGCTTCCTTCCCTCAGGCTTATCACCGAGGGATCTAATTCTGCACTTTGGACACAAGGTAGAGCGTCACAGACGGGCCTTCAGGTGTCTGCTGCTCCTGTAACTCATTGTTCATTATTAAGGAACTCTTCTGTTTCGCCCTTGTAGATCCTCATCCTCTTCAAGCTCATTCTGCTGGAGAAGAAGGTGCCATTACAGATGTTTTCCAGCGATTCAGAACTTCTGAAACGCAACAGGAGTCTGATTGTTGTTGTTGTCTGCAGGTGCTCTTCTATGTGTCTCCTGTCAACAGACTGGTGGGGGCTCTGATGACCGTCCTGTCGCTGTTTCCAGGTCAGCGACGGCCGTCTCTCCTCGTGCGCGTTTACATCGGGTCTGTTTGTTTGGGTCCTCGGGTGTTTTTCTAAAATCTGTAAAATCAAACGTGTAATCAAGTTGATGCGTAGACCTGAAGCTGCACAAAGGTCGTTATAAGGTCACCAGGTTACGTTTAAACACGGGAGAAGAAGTTTACAGACTCGAATGGATTCATCACACATGTTTAAAGTAGAACATCTTTAATCGGGCAGAACGTCTCCAACTTTCCCCCGTTTAACCGGCGCAGGTATGGTCGAGCACGGCCTGGTGGACTCCTCCCACTACCGGCCCAAGAGCAGCGCCTCGGAGGACCCCACCCTGGTGGAGAGCGTCTCGGGAGCCGAGGCCTTCGTCTCCGTGTCCGCCACCGACATCCCCGCCGCCGCCGGCGCCGCCGAGGGGAGCGACCGCCTCCTGAAGCCGCCGTCCCGCGGCTCCCCGGAGTCCTCGGAGAGCGACTGGGAGACCCTGGACCCCGGCGTGCTGGAGGAGGGTCCCAAAGAGGCGGGCGAGGGGAAGGAGGCGGAGCCGGCGGACGCCTTCGACCCGGAGCCGGGGACGCCCATCACGGTGCAGCCGCAGCCCGCCGGCGGGCAGGGGGGGGTCGTCCAGGGTCTGGTGTCCGGTCTGGAGGAGGACCAGTACGGCCTGCCGCTGCCCATCTTCACCAAGGTGGTCTCAGCGTTTAGATTCACCTCTCAAGATTATAATTATTACGTCAACTGGGACGTTTTTGTTGACCTTTTTTCCCCGTTGGTTGCCAGGGTTACCTGTGTCTGCCCTACATGGCCCTGCAGCAGCATCACCTCCTGTCCGACGTGGCGGTGCGCGGCTTCGTTGCCGGGGCGACCAACATCCTCTTCCGCCAGCAGAGGCACCTCAGCGACGCCGTGGTGGAGGTGGAGCGTTTTCTGCTCTTCTGGCTGTAAAGACGCAACAGGCCGATGCGCTTCTGTTCTGACCGTGAGCACTGTGGGGTCCTTGGCAGGTGGAGGAAGCCGGAGTCCACATCCAGGACCCGGAGCTCCGGAAGGCCGTGAGCCTGACCACGGCGGACCTGCGCTTCGCCGACTACCTGGTGAAGCACGTGACGGAGAACCGGGACGACGTGTTCCTGGACGGGACGGGCTGGGAGGGCGGAGACGAGTGGATCAGAGCGCAGTTCACCCTCTACCTCCACTCGTTACTGTCCTCCGCCCTGCAGCAAGGTGGGAGGAGCCGCTGAGCGACCCGCTCGTCGCGTCACTGCTTCTCTCTGTTGTGTTGGTTTTAATTGTCTGTGTGAATACTTGTGGCTCTCAGACAACGAGAGGCTGCTGGCCGACTACGGCGTTCCCTTCGTGACGGCCTGGAAGATCACCCACAACTACCGGGTGTGGTTCGGCAACAAGCACCCCGCCATGGCCGCCATCACGCCGGGGTGGGTGGGCAAAACGCTCAGTCTCGCCTTTTTAGAAAATGTTTTATTCCTACTCGGCGACATCGAGAGTCGAGGAAACAAATGTCGCCCGTTTCAATTCATTACAACTTTTCTCAGGATTGTTTTTTCTCTTTGTTCACCGTTGAGGTACAAGAAGTATTCTTATAAATTCCAGGTAATAATGTTAATGTTATTAATTGATATCCAAAGAATTTAGAAACGCACTGAAAAATGTGGAAACTGTATGTAACGTATAGCTGCAAATATTTTTCACAGATAATACTGAGACATTTGTTATATTTGTTATGTTATTATATCATATATGACAATGTTTAAGAATAATCATAAATAATGTGTCTTTTTTTGGTTCTTAGCCACCCCTTCCAGGGCCAGTACAGTGTTGCTGACGTGAAGCTCCGACTCTCACAGTGAGTTCACTCTTTCATTCCTCTCACTCTTTCATTCCTCTTTCCCTTTCATTCATCACTCTTTCATTCCTCTCACTCTTTCAGTCCCCTCTCACTCTTTCATTCCTCTCACTCTTTCATTCTCCTCTCACTCTTTCATTCCTCTTTCACTTTCATTCATCACTCTTTCATTCCTCTCACTCTTTCAGTCCCCTCTCACTCTTTCATTCCTCTTTCACTTTCATTCATCACTCTTTCATTCCTCTCACTCTTTCACTTTCATTCATCACTCTTTCATTCCTCTCTCACGCTTTCATTCCGCTCTCACTCTTTCATTCCTCTCTCACTCTTTCATTCCTCTCTCATTCCCCCTCACTCTTTCATTCCTCTCTCACTCTTTCATTCCTCGGTCACACTTGCATTCCACTCTCACTCTTTCATTCCTCACTCTTTCATTCCTCTTTCATTCCCCTATCACTTTCATTCATCTCACACTTTCATTCCTCGGTCACACTTTCATTCCACTCTCACTCTTTCATTCCTCACTCTTTCATTCCCCTATCACTCTTTCATTCCACTCTCACTCTTTCATTCCTCTCTCAATCTTTCATTCCCCCTCACTCTTTCATTTCCCGGTCACGCTTTCATTCCTCTATCACTCTTTCATTTCCCTCTCACTCTTTCATTCCTCTATCACTCTTTCATCTCCTGCTCTGTGCAAATATTTAACAAACTAAGACACTAAAGCTGAGAAACGACATGTCAAACATTTACATATAAACACAGCCGGGCTGACAGAACTATTTATTAACTTATGTTATTATCGCCCGTGTGGAGACGAGAGGAAAGTCTCCGGTTGAGCAGGAGAACCGTTTGGCTTTTTCACTCTTCTGTTTCTCTGAGGTAAAACCTCTGAACACAACCATGTTTTTTCAGGGTAAATTTTTACTTTTTAACTAATTTAGTCCTTTTATGAATATTTCCCCTTGAAGACTTAACTTACGTTAATGAGGCATTAGTCCAAAATAAAAGACTGGAGGAAGTTAAGGAGGAAAAAACGAATATGTTTGTAACACAGTAGCTGTAAAAACAGTATTTAAAAACACACACACACACACATGGTGTGTTTGTGCGTGTTTTCGTGTCTCCTCGTCATCGGCTGCTGGACAAAGAGCAGCCGGCTGTGATCGGCCCTTTCTTCATTGTCAGCGTTGTGTGAGATGTTTATTTGGGTCAGACTCCCCGAGCGCACACAGCGACTCTGGAAATGCTGCTTTCTGTCGGCGGCTTTTCTTTTCATGATCCTTTTAACCGGAGTTCCCATTATTACACCCAAAGCTTAGAGTTATGAACATTTTATTTTACGGCATTGTCTGTGTGAGACACAAAGATATTGCTTTGAAATAATTCCAAAATGTTTTCCGCCTAATTAAAATATATTTGGACTCGTTTCTGCTCGTCTGAGCTTAAAGGCCCATTCTGGTCTTTCTGTGATCATATGTGTGGAATAATACATGAAGAATCTGAAAACCAATATTTCCAATATAGAATCGATTTTTGGAGTCAAAAATGAAATAAAGTACATGTATAATAAATGAGGATGATATCATATGTATGTAGCGGCCCCTAGCAACCGGCTCGTTTGTGGGACGTCGTGAAGTCCGTTACCCGCCGCGTCCACACATCTCGGAGGTTTAGGGTTCCGCCCACAGACGTTTACTGGTTCTGTTTATTTACGTCTGGAGCTCTTGTCTTCTTCCTCATTTGGCTCGTTAGACGGTGTTAACGCTCAGAGCAGCAGCTGCTGACACGCATCCACATCCGTCCCGTTAACTACGAATGTCACTGTGTTTGGGGGGGCGTTCAGGATGAAGCTGAATTTAGCCGAGTTTCTGTTGTGAAACGTGGCCCTCGCTCGTTTCCGCTCTCTCCGGTCAGCTCCGCTCATCTGACGCGACACCTGCTGCTCGGCCTCCCGCCGTTACTTAATCCCGCTTTAAGAGAGCGCTGAAGCCTTTTTCTTTTTCTCACTGTCCGCTGCAGCTCGGTGCAGAACAGCGAGAGAGGGAAGAAGTTCGGCAACGCCATGATGACCACGAGTCGCAGCATGGTGCAGACTGGAAAAGCCGTGGGTAAGAAAACTAGCCATTATTTTTTTTTGGGAAATGTGGAAAAGTGACATGGAGATGCCATATATGTCTATGGTAGTGGCAGAGACTGTCAATCTGCGTAGCCCCGCCCTAAAGCGTCCCCTGCTTTATGGTCGTTTTGACTCTAAATGGACCATAATTTGCTAAATGAACATCATGCTGTATTGAAGAAGACTTGAAACTAGAGATTGAGACCATAAACTCATGTTTACAATGTTTACAGAGCGAATAAGAGAGTAGAGTTTCTTTCTCATAGACGTCTATGGGAGCAGAGGAGTCGCCCCCTGCTGGTCACTACACAGAATGCAGCTTTAAGACACTTCCTCATTGGCTTCACCGCAGGTCGCCGCCTGGCTCAAACAAACGTTTGTTGACCCATTTGGTCTCTTCTGTTCTCAGGTCAGTCCGTGGGCGGAGCGTTGACCAGCGCCAAGTCGGCCATGTCCTCCTGGTTCTCCACGCTTGCGCCGCCAGTGGCGGTGACGGCCGCCGAGCCGCCGGAGCCGGCCGCCGAGGTCCAGCCCATGAATTGAAAACCCACCGGTCCCACCGAGACATGAGACGAGAGAAGAGACAAAAAAAAGTCACAACGGTGATTCATCCTCAAACAGGAAAATAACCGTACGGTCCACATCCACCGTGAGGCTGCACCGGCGCTTTTGATTAAAAAAACAACCAAATATGCTTTTTTTCCTGTGAGAAACTGAAAGTGAAAACATTATGTTGTGTTCAACTCTTTGCTGCGTATTTCTAGAGTTCGTCGTACAGAAAACTATTTTGCTGGCCTGTAAATCACAGATTGAGAAATTTACGGTTGTGGCAAGATTTGAAAGAAAGAAAGTATGAGCTACATTGAAGATATTTTTAAACTCAGCGATGTGTGTAATCACGCTGCGGTTGTTGTGGTAACGGCGTTAAAAAAAAGACTCAATGAAATACTTTTATTACTTCTATAACTAAAGTAGGGAGAATTGTCTACAGAGATGTAGAGCTACAAACTTTATAATTAGTTAGCTAAAAGCATCTTAGCTAGCTATAAAACGCTAACTAACTTTTAAGCTAAGCTTAATTTATTTTGTTTGACATAATGAGACACACATTCACATAATGTCCATGATTTACTTCCTCAATTAACAGAAGAAAAAAGAAGAGGAAATTAAGATAAAAGTACATTGTCTGTCTTAGCAAGCTACCTCATTTTGTTAGCCTTGACTTGCTGGATTAAACACTTGTAGTATCACCACAAAACACTGCCCACCAAAATAAAATATCAGTAACAAACCACCATCTCCCTGTTAATGATATTTGATAATATCCCAGAGGTCTAACTGGTCTTATTAGAAATCTGGATATACCACGTTAGCATTTGCGCTTGGTTTAGTTAACGTTAGCCAGCAACGTCTCCACTTGGATGTCCTACATTGATTTGGAAAACAAAACTGTTACCGTGATAAATAATCCTTGTGAATGTTTCTGTACTTGTATCACAAACGTTCCCATTAGCGAGGTAGCTAGCCTAAAAGGGTGGTGCCTAATGTGTGTAGCTATCTGTGCTTTTGGCTAAGCTAGTTAGCCAAAAAGTCTCAATTAAGCTTCATTCTTTATCAACTGGTAATACCCCACATTTAGTACAAATGCAACGTTTTATATTTCTATTCACGCTTTATTTGAAATGTTTGGCCGATGGTTCTATTTTTTTGATGCCTCAGTCATTTTTACTTGTTCAATAACCTTTTAGCTCTCTGTCAGTTTCTAGATAATCCAAAATCTAAAATATATTTTAATCCCCTAAATTCGGACACTCTGTGAAGCGCCAGTATAGTATTCCAGTATTGTTCAACGTGTTTCCACAACTAACATTACTACACAAACCAACGTAATTACTAAACCTGAACGCAGTTACTGCAACGACCACAACGTTATTACGCCAGTCCTCGCATAGCCGGATGAACGCGATGAAAGCGCTCGCTTCATGATGAAGGAAGCCGTGTTCTACAGGCCTTTTTATACGATACGTTAGAACTATATTTAGTCTGAGAACAGTTTAAAGCAGGGTGACTCATTTATTTGTGAACAAACTCATAGATGTCCATGTTTTGTCACAACGGCGCTGGAAAAAGTCCCTCCATCTGCGTGCGTTTGCACAAAGAAGCCGTCGTATTCTATTTATGTGAATCTTTATCTCGTATCACTGTAATTGTCGAGCTGTTTGCAGGATCTTTTCCCTCCAGGCTTCAGTTATTCACCAGTGGGATTAAAAGCGAGTCCAGTGAGCATGCTCCGTTCAGTCCAGTTTTACAGCTGTAATGAGTGTCCTTCCGTCTTCAAAGCTCTTTTAATGCAGTCTTTCTTTTTTTGTTTTGGGTTCCTCATACTTAAATATCTTTTGCCATTACAGGTATTTTGGCTCAAGTTAAAAAATACTAAAAAAAATCTATTGAAAGGTGCATATCCTTCATCTTCTGGTATATTTTAATTTTGTATTTAAGAGGTAGGAATGTATTGTGAAATAAAATTCACGCAATATTTTCTTGACAGATGCTTCTAGCGTATATGAGAGGAAGTGATCCTATAGTATATTGCTGTATTAAAAATAAACTGCAGACTTTTTGTCTGGGATGACGGGAGAGAAACATTTCTTTTATCCCTCTGGGTAGAAAGAAGTAGGTCAACCATATCAGTGTGTGTTTACAAAGAAGGGTTGTTGTTCCACACGGCTGCACAAAAATGCTCCCACGTGTTGTCTGAGTGACACCCGATGGTTTTCATGACTAATTAATTCACTGATAAATAAACTTGATTAATAACTACTTGGTATTACCTTTAGCTTTAATGTATCCTGGCAAAGTTAATTGTTTAATTTGAATGAAAAATGCACGTCTAATGCATAGTCCATTTTTTATTTCACCTCCAATGTTTATATTTTATGTAGGTCCATTAGAAAAATATCCTTTCAAAATATTTTAATTTCCGGAAAAAATACCTTTAAAACTTATAAGATTCGAAAATGTTTTGGTAAAGTAGAAATGGGCTAAAGTCCCAACAAACCACAAAACAGCAATTTAAAGAATCTTAAAGATTAAAAGGGATCACAATTCAAAGATAGCAACTTTAATGAATAATTCATTATTCCACACCACCACGTTAGTTGTTCTTCCTCAGACAAAAGAAACCTGGAGTCGGTTTCAGGAACGTTTTTGGTATGTTTTTTAATAAATTAACGTTCATTCAAAATACAGTGCCAAAGGAATATGATGCAGCCAAACATGCTAGTAAGGTTCGTCATGAAGCACCTGTGCTCATGTTTTTACAGGTAGGAGGAGGACCCCACCCTCCCCACCCCCTCCACTACTGCTAGTGGTTGCAAGGACGTAGCAACAGCCGTGGGCCCGCCCTCTCCTCTCACAACCAATCAGCAGCAAGAAACCTCAATATTCACTCAAATTAAATCTGATAGGAAAATGGAAAATCTACCCACAATCACACTACAGTAATGTTTAATATTAAATAATAAAAAAACAATACAAAATAGACCTGGTTATTTCCCCCCACACTAAAACAGTTGTCTTTTTGAAACATATGAAAAATATATATTTCAGCAGCTTGGAAATAACAAAATAAAGAAGGCATGAGCCCAGAAACAGAGTTGAGTCGTAAAAGTATCCATGACCAGGTGAGGATGGACTTGAGTGAGGTGTGAACTGCTGTGCGGGAGGCGCTGTAGTGGAGTCAAGAGGAAGGTGGAGGGAGACCGGACCTGCAGTCACCCTCTTTAACCCCCCCGGTTCCGAAGAAATGCAGCTGGCAGAACTTTTCGCTCATTTGTGGAGGAAGATAGTCAGAAAAAAAAGCTGAAATGTCACTTAACTGTCAATTCACAAAAATGAAGAAAAAAAAAAAAAAACAGAAATAAACTGCAAATCCTCACGTCGGAAAATGTTTGGACATTTTACGCCCGAGGAAATAGTCCCCGTTTCGCTTTCCTTCGACCAATCGCCGTTTAAATCGTAGCTCAAGCAAATCTATGACAACAAGCCCAGGCTTTTAATTTTTTTCATCACGCCGGGCAGACCAGTTCGGAGAATTACATCTTTTGGGGTGAGATTAATCGAAAAAAAAAAGAAAAAAAAAGTGATCATCGATGCAATTTTTAGTCTTTAGCAGCTGAAAAAACGCACTGAAACAATTGGACACGAGGTCCAACCAGCGGGGTTATTGCTCTTTGTAGGTTTGCACGGCGCTCATAAGTTTAATTACTACCATGTGACAACATTTAGGGTTAAAGACTCGTTATTGATGATTAATCAGTAGTTTGATCATAATTCTTAGCACCAAAGTCCACTTACTGGAAAATTAGCAGATGGAGTTTGTCACACGATAACAACTGAACCACATCCTGAAACTCTACCACGAGTTCCGTGAGGCATTATTTTAATATTACTCCCCCTCCCACACGTTCAAATCACAAATTTTTGTGAGTAATAGAAACTGTCATGTTCAATATCAAAAAATAGCCACAAGAAGTTCAGCAACAGGAGAGACTTGATGTCGAGGAGTAAACTGCCTTCCTGCCACAAAGGAGCACAAAGTTTCTACGTGATATCAGTGGTGAGAGAAGAGGGAGAGAAAGACGGGGGAGAGAAAGACGGGGAGAGGGGGCGGGGCATTTTGGTACAGTTGCCATCGTTCCGAGAAGGTTTACTATTGAAGTGCATCATCATCAATACAAAATCAGCTGATGTTTTCAGGTCATGACGTAGTAGAAACAGTATGACAGACTTCGTAATTACTAACAGATGCCACAACTGACAAAATAAGGAAACAAACTTGCAGATTACTAGTATTTTTTTAAAGGGGGATTTTTTTTTGCTCCAGGCTTTTTTTTAGGGGGTGTGGTCAGAGGAGGGGGGGGGGAGGGGCTAACGGCAGCCTCCCAACAGTCCAAAGATCGCTCCACAACACGGAACGTCAAAACCCTCTGGTACTTCAGATCCTCCCCCAGCGTTACGGATCCCGGGGGCGGCGGTTAGGAGCTATACATGGGGGAGGGTCACCAGCTCCCCGTCCACCTCGAACTCCTCGGCTACGTCGGGGGAGAAGAGGTAGGTGGGGGGCTTCCAGGGGGACTCCTCCAGGCAGGAGGGGTACAGCTTCCCCACCGCGCAGCGGAAGTCCTTCCCCAGGTCCCACAGCACGCGCTCCGACACGGGCTGCCGCAGGTACCAGCGGTCCAGCTCCATGTCGTACTGGTAGATGGCGTACTTGGCGCGCTCGTTCATGTGGGTCTCGCGCATGAAGATGCACAGCGAGTTGAGCAGCACCACGGCGCGCACGCACGGGTCCGAGTAGCGCTTAGCGGGGATGTTGGCGGCCTGGCGCCACTCGTTCTTGCCGACGTCGTAGATCTCCACGGTGACGGAGGAGCCGTCGATGGTGCTGGTGGGCAGGCGGACGCCGGAGTTGCTGACCACGTGCAGGCCGCCGATGTAGAAGACGAGGTCGCCGAAGGCGGCGGCGGAGGCGAAGCAGCGGCTGGTCTTGCGCATGGCCATCTCCACCCAGGTGTCGGCGCGGGGGAAGTAGCAGTACATGAGGTCGTGCGTCATCACGTAGATGCAGTCGTGCGCCACCACCGACGTGCTCCAGTTCCAGGCGAAGGGCAGCGGGCTCATCATGCTCCACTCGTCCTTCTCGCAGTCGTAGCGCTCCACCGTGCGCTTGTTGAGCTCGCCGCCCACGTTGTCCCCGCCGATGGCGTAGATGTAGCCCTCGCAGTGGACCAGCGAGGGCTTGATCCGGGCGCACAGCATGGGGGTCTTGGGCACCCAGGCGTTCTGCTGGGCGTCGAACCAGAAGAAGCTGTCCACCGAGCGGAACACCGCCTGCAGCTTCCCGCTCTTGCCGTGGTTGGTGATGGAGTTCTTGAGGGGGATCTGCCCGCCGGCGATGAACACGTCGTTGTCCGGCGTCACCAGGGTCCCCACCTTCTGCAGGTCGCCGGGGGGGTTGTTGAGCTTGTACACCTTCTCCGCCTGCGGGCTGTAGCACACCACGGTGGTGGGCAGGGAGCCGGACATCACGTAGCCGTCGCCCTGCGTCTCCGACATGGCCTCCATGAAGATGAGCATCTCCTCCTTGGTCATGCCCAGCCGGGGCTTGAAGAACTTGGGCATGGACTTGTAGAGGCCCTGCACCACCACCGACTTGTCGTTGGGCGGCAGGCCCTGGAACCAGGCGCGCTGCGTCACCTCGGACAGCGCGTCGATGCGGATCTGGCTGAGCACGGAGGACAGGTGCTGCGAGCGCGCCTCCATGTTGTACTCCAGCCACAGCATGGCCGCCTCGCGCACCGTCTCCTCCTTCTCCACGTTGAGGTTGTCGCTGCTCAGCACGTCGACCAGCAGCTCGTGGGACAGCTGGAGGAAGGCCTCCTGCCGGTACACCATGGGGAACTTGTGCTCCACCATGCGCTTGGCGCTCTGCTTCAGCTCGCTGCAGCTGAACAGGTCGCCGATGCTCAGCATGCGCACGCAGTTCTCGGCGTTGATCTTCTTCACCAGGTAGTCTCTGCACTGCAGCAGGACGTCCTCCACCTGGACAGGGGACAGGGGGAGACATTCAAGAAAAGAAAAACATCTCTTTGCATCAAAGCTGTGCATCAAAAAACATTCACAGCTAACATCAGCAGCTGGACACACGAGCCGGACTATTTCACGACCAGCTGTCATTTGGGACATTTCCAGCGGGGGGGGTGAGAAGTTTAGAAATAAGACGACCTGCAGGAAGCAGGCGGTCTCGTAGAGCGGCTCCACGGTGCTGTCGTTGATGGCCAGGTGGCCCGTGTAGGCGTAGGTGATGATGATCTGCAGGGTGGCCGGGTCCACGTTCCTCAGGTGGACGTGGGTCTGCTTGCTCTCGCTGAGGCCGCTCATGAACATCGCCCTGCAGGAGCCAAAGTGTCACCAGGAGAAATTAGAAAATGAACCCAATGTTATTTTTCTGCAGATATCTCTGGTTTCTGGTCCAAGAGTTTATAATAAACCCACAAGACAGCTCAACTCCTCTAGTGCATTGTGGGTGATAAGACTCCAAGTTCAATCTGGTTGCATTATATGGCGCGAGATAAACCTACAAATGACAATTTGAATTATGAATTAACCATTTCTCTGGGAGAAATATTTTAATATTACACTTAATTGGAGTGATTTCTCCATCAATCAATAAAAAAAAATTTAAAAAAAAGAACCGGCAGCAATTCAGACATTTGATTAAACCTGTTAGGAATGATGAAGCCAAAATGTTAAATAATTGACTACTTCCCCATCTGAATTCTATTCGTGTATTAAAGGAGAACAGACTGAATTCATTTAGGTTTTGATATATGTCGACGCTATATGTTCCTTTTTACTGTAATCTGACTTTATGGAGCATTACTAAATGTTGTGTGTCACCACAGCCATGTATATATATATATATATATATATACATATATATATATATATATATACATATATATATATATTATACATATATACACACACACACACATATTAAATTATGGTCCTTTGAGGGTGAAATAGGTTGGGGGGGGGGGGCGTGTGTGTCCTCACGACAGGGCCTAAATCGGCCAGGATTACGCAACCCTGCACCCCCCCCCCCACCAACTACGTGACCAGACTTTACCATCCAAACACAAGCGCTCAACCCCCCCCCTCCCCCAAAGCGAGGCGTGTGAAGAGAGAATGAAAACGGGGAGGGGGAAGCAGTTTAGAGGAAGTGTTGAGACTACTATGAACTCGGCGGGGGGGGGGGGGGGGGGGGGGGTTTGCATGTTCGCACCAGATAACAAGCGTGAGGAAACCGAGCGGAAGATTGCGGGTGTGAGAGGCATCAAGTTGTCGGGAACCTTTCTTGGAATACATATGTGTGAGAAGAAGAAAAAAACACGGGTGGGGGGGGGGGGGGGGGGGGTGAGGAGGGGTGAGGCTGAAATGCAGCGTGAGCCTCCTGTCAGGTGCAGATGGATTCTTCCCAGAGGTTTGCTGCTCAGTCACATTTTCTGCAGTGCACGCACACTTCATTGAGCAACGCCGCGCGCACAAACGAGGCCTCGGGGGGGGGGTACGCAGGTAGGACCACGGGTTGAAGACGGAGACAGGCGGGGGACGCATCGATAACTGGCGCGGAGGGAGGAAACATCATCCCGACGTACAGGGTGGATAACACTCGCTCTACATTATTCATTATCACTGTAGGAGGAGAGCACTCGACACAACAACCACGGCGTACCTACACCTCCTTCACGACAACACCGGGAGGGGAGGGAAGGGGGGGAGGGAGATTGCGGCTTGTAGTCACAAACGTGTGCTGTATTATTCATTGAAACCGAAGGAGGCAAAAAAAGGCCAGAGCTACGCTAACATTCGTCATCATTCCACTGCCGCGGCGCTCACCTGAAATAGGAGCTGCACGTGGCGAGGACCATCTTGTGACACGGGAACTCGCTGTCCTCCACCAGCAGCACCACGTCAGTCAGTAGCTTCTGCTCGTAGAAGAACTTGAGCTGCTCCAGCAGGGAGACGGCGTAGTCCGCGTTGACCGGCCTGCGCTCGCTGAGATCCGACATGGTTGCATCCCACGAGTCGCGCCCCAGGTTTGAAAAGTCACACCGGCCGTGGGACCGGACGTCGACCACGAGAAAAAAAAAAAAAGAGGATATATTCCTAGATATAAGAGGTGAAAACAGGAAGGGGGTGTAGGCGGGGGCTCTTCAACACCTCCACCGATCCACGCTGAAGTGTTCCGGCTCCTTCGTGGAAAAAGACTCAGACGATTCTTCGACAGGAGACGAGTCGAATGACGGGACGGCAACCGGGTCCGGGGCGAGGGAGGGGCTGCTTCCCCCCGTGGGTCTGTGCTCTGAGGTCATGCAGGGAGGCACCGGGGAGGGAGGGAGGGGGGGTGGCGGAGGTTAGAGGGGAGCTCTGCAACCTGGCCACGCTGCTACGTCAGTGATCGTCTGGAAAAACAAGGAGCCAAGTGTCACAACAAGGGAAAAGGTCGTGAAGTGATCGTCTTTGCCAACATCGGTCATACATGTAAAAGAAAATTGTTTTTCCTCCAGTATTTTAAACTCCAGCCCAGTTTCACAAGAGCACAAGGACACGAGCTTCAGTCTCGTTGGCATGGAGATGCTTTTGGGAAACAGGGCCTGAATCTTTTAGGGCATCATAACGAAACACCGGGTGGTTCTTTACACGAACACATGTAGCGATTTTATATTCAAGTAGCTGCTATTTAATGTAGGATGTCATTAAGATTCATAATGTACACGGGTCTAAGATGACCTCAAATCAACCCATTGCTTTTCTTCTCAGTGCAGATTGTGATGAAGAGAAAACCCAGTTGATTAAGAGAGCCCGACATCAAGGTTAGTCAGAAATAAAAGAAATGGAGATAATCGTTCTTTTGTCCGTTACGTCTCGCGTCCTAAATGACAGCGGGCTGTTTGACAGGTTACCATGACAGAGCCATTAAGCCACTACTGAATGCCTTCAAGCTGCCCGGCTCACAGCGGAATAACAACCACACAGGTCTGCTTTCAACAATTCACATCAGCACAGAAAACTGAAAGAAATGTGAATAGTCTGATCCGGTCATTGTGCCAAACTCGAGGTTGTGTGTGGGTGGATTTTACAACCATCTCCACCACTGACGCAGATCCGGTGTCACTAACACGTGTTGTTAACACGCCGTCAGAATATCTTCGTTCAGATAACATACATGACAATGTGAGGTTATAATAAAAACGTGTTGGTCTGCGGTTACGTTGTTTAGTCCAGAGGTGGCAGAGGAATCCAGATCCTGCCATTGAGTATAATAAACTAATAGTACTAATAAACACCGTGGAAATACTTCAGTAACGGGCGGTAAAAAACACTTCATCCCTCCGTTTATCCCAAACACTCAACATCTGGATCTGAAAAGTAGCTAAAGCCGACAAATAGACGTAGCATCCCACCTCTACATTGTCCCAGTAACGAAGCAGATGTTTAACGTGACAGAAAATGTAGATACTAAAGGGAAGTACTTCGATCTTGTATTTTTTTAAACGTGCATTTTGAGTAATGTTAACGTTACCTGGTTAACGTCGGCATTCGCTTAAGGCCGTATAACGTTACATGCATCAATGTTAGCTTTACTAGCTGGCAAGCTAGGCTAGCGAGCTAACAGCCAATCAGCGACTCAATTACCCGTAACACACCTTTAACTAACGCCAACTGGTCTGAGTAAAAAGGCAAATATGTAAGATTGTTGTTGCCATCCCTCTGGACGAGCCTAGTGCTAGCTTGCTAGCTAGCTAACGTTAGCACGTTACCGTCAACCAAAACAAACCCTGTCTGCAAACTAAAACGAGTAACATTAGACAGGCCGCTGTTAGCTAACCCGACATGACGTAACCACATATGCCGCTTTATCTATAAATATATATAAACGTTCACCAAGTGGTCTTCTGCTGAGCTCTCTGTTGATTATTTTATATGGCTAACTCAAGTAACGTTAGCGACACTTGCTTGATTGTCACTCGCGGCAAAGCTAGCAACTTTAGCTTCCATTAGCTGTACAGTTCCGGGGGTGGGGAGTGGGGGGGTTACGTAGATGCACGCTAGCTGGCAGTTAGAAAGCCGGGCGTCTTTAACACCATCACCGGCAACCGTGAGAGGCGGCCAGGAACGATCACATAGGTACAACAAATAAACAAATAAATGATTCTAGAGAACGCTCATGCTCGCTAGCAGACCCACGGCTAACAGGCTAAGCGCTAAACGTGCTAAATAAACGTAAGCTGGAGCCGCCTTTCCAAGTTAACCAATGCAAACAATGGAAATCCACGCGTCCTTACTGTAACTGCAGGCGGGACTCACACCTTGTCACCAGAAAGTGGCAAGTAAGCTCCTCGGCCCGAATTGAGACATTAAACAGTTGTGCTGAAAGCGCCGAGCAGAGGACAACCTTTCAGCGCATCATAAGCGTCTGAAAGACCAGAGGCCACACGAGGACACTGCGCATGCGCAAACTCGATGCCGTCTTCTGGCCTGGTGTGCGGAGCGGGAACAGCGCCCCCCGGTGGAGAGATGGAGGCACAACTGGACGAGTGAAAACAGCGCTTTAAGATTTCTTACGCAATGAGAAATATACTTTCGAATAGTATTTGAAATTGTATTCATAACAAAAACACCTCATAACGTTTTAAGGGAATTTAGAAATGAAGATCACATCTTTTCTTTGATTTACCCCTTGTTATTTGATGAATGGATGGATAACATCATTAGTTTTATGGGTTTATGATGTGTGTGACAATTGTCTTTCTTCCATGCAGTTAATATTTCTTTGAATAAATGTGATTCGTTTTTTATTCCACCGACTCTAGAATGTAATCACTTTTTTTGTACTGACACCATTGCAACTCCAGCCTGATTTGTCAGCTCGCAGCAGGTGTTTCCTATTTGACTGATGAGCGCAGACATTTCGGCTTTTTGTACGCAGAACGTCACCGAGACCCGAGAGAGAGACGCGTTTCCACTTCTATGTGTTTATCGACGACAATCAGTTGACTGAAAGACTCCGCCTTTATTTTTTTTACGAACCGGGGGATGTTTATCAGGTCGTTTTCATCCCGCTGCAGTATTTTATTTTTATTCCCGACAGGTTGATCCAACACGTGAGAGAAATGGACGGTGAGGACTTCCTTCCTCATAATTTAAATGAAAACGTGTGTTTTTCTATTTATGCATAAAATGAAATAACCGCTGCTTCCTGCAGATGGAAGCAAACAAGCGCACACATTTGGAAGCGGACAACCGAGGACTCAACACCCCAGACCTTTCTTTTATGTCCAGCCGCCGTCTCAACCGTATTACCTGTACCAGCACTGGCAGATGAACAACCCGTACGGACCCTACGGGGTGCCTGCAGGTATGCGGCCGTGCTGCGCTCTCCTCCTGGTGTTGTTGTAGTATATCCATGGAATGCACATAATGCATCAGGTTCATCGCTTTAATTTCTGCTGGTAAAGAGGGGGCTTATTTTTAATGACGTACACACTGTGGAAACACCCTAAAGGTGCAAGTACCTGAAAGTTGTTCTGAAGTCCAGCTCTCCTTGTGTGTAATTGTGCTTATGTTCCCCAGGTCTTAACTTTGGCCGTCCCTGCATGAACCCCTACCAGTACATGCAGTATCCCGGGTATGTCTTCCCGCATGCCCCGATCTACCCGATGGACTACCGGCGAATGTTTGAGCCTCGCTTCCACGCGCCCAGTTGGAATGACATGCCTCGCCATCAGCAGCAACCGCAGTATCCGCAGCAGTATCATCATCATCATCAACAGCAGCAGCAGCAGCACCCGCAGCAGCAGCAGCAGCAGCAGCAGCTCCCCGCGTTCTGGGAGACGGCCTCCTCCGAGGCCCAAACCGACCCCAGCGACGCCATCACTAAACTCATTGAGTGCCCTGGACAAGATCCGAGCCACCGAGCTGCAGGGCGCCGAGAGGGAACTCGACTCGGGCGTGGCCTCGCAGTCCTCCGGGATGTTTTCTCCGGTGGAAGAGAAGAAGAAGAAGGTCCAAGAGCTGGGTCGCGTGCTGCCTGGGGCGCCCGACGACGAAGATGGCCGCCGCCTCCCGCCGGAGTCCCCGGCCGAGACCTTCGGCAACTCCGCGGCGGCGGTGTACGACGGCGAGTCCAGCCGGAGGAGCCTGGGCGGGCTGAGCCCTCGGGGGTGCTGGTCGGCGGTCCTGGAAGAGGAGCTGCCCCTCGATAGCTCTTCCATCCACGAGGAGGAGCAGGCGGACGGACACTTCCTCCCTCTGGAGAAAGCGGAGGTCGCCGACATCCGGTCAGATGTCGCCGCGGCCGCCGCGAGTGTTCCCCGACTCGACGCAGAGGAGCTCCTGAGGCAGAAGGCGGATCCAATCGTGCCTTCCTCCTCCTCCTCCTCTTCCTCCTCCTGTTCTTCTTCTTCTTCTTCTTCATCCTCTTTTACCTCCAATCAGCAGAGTCATAAAGATGCCAAAAGTGGCGTCAAAGTCTCAGCGACTGACCCGAGCTATCGGATCCTCAAGCTGCCTTTCCAGAGCGTCCTGACGCCGGTGGAGGCCGCGGCCGGTCGCCTCTCCTCCCCGACGGCTCCCTACTACTACAACTACCTCTCCATGCAGACCACTCACGAGCGCATGAGCGTCCTCAGTCCCTCGCTGGACGAGCTGTCCTCCCGAGACGAGATGTTCTCCACCGACCTGGACGACGCCGACCTTTTCCCCAAGCGAATGTACGCGGGCCGGAGGCTCCCGGAGGTTGGCGTCGGATCCCCGAAGGCCGGCGACGCCGCGGGGGAAGCGTGGCCGCCCGGCTCCAAGAGGTCCATGTGCGCCTGCTGCGGGAAAAGCCTGACGAAGGGCAGCGCCAGGAGCAAAGGACACGGCTCCAAGGCCTATAGGGACGAAGCCCAGAGAGACTCTGAGGAGGAGGACGACGACGAAGAGGAGCAGGAGGAGGAGGAGGAGGGCCGGTACGGGAGAGGGGTCGTGAGGAAGCATTCTGCACACAGGAAGCCCCACGCCGCCTCGCGGAGGCACGCGCCCAAACCCTGGTACAAGAGAGGCCAGGAGCTGTCTGCCCCGGCGACCCGGGAAGACGCTCTTGAGGGCCACGATCAGCAGCAGCAGCAGCAGCCGCCGCCGCTGCCGCCGCCACCGCCGGGCGAGGCCGGCGCGGCGACGGGCCGCGGGCCGCAGTGCAGACCGTGTACGGGTAAGCCTCGCCCACGGTTATTTACTCTCTCTGCCGTGTGGGAAACCGGGTGAGGACTTCACACGTGTGCGCTGTGGGGACTCTTTTGATAGACAGACTCTGCAGAGAAGATGTGACCACGTCGGACCGAGGCGGGTGGGGAGACGAGGACGTGGTACCCAGGAGGAGACCGGCCATCCTTCCACAACGACAAGGTGGGAAACCTGCAGCGACATTGTGCTGAATTCTAACTTGATGGAACACAAAGGCCGACCGGCTTGGGGCCAAAAACATATTTAGATAAATAATTAGCTTTTGGACGTTAAACGTAAGCTGTTGAAACACAATCTAAAAAATATGCATAAAAATTGCTTCCAAATCTGATTTCCCTTCCCGTCCGCCGCGTAGAGGCGAGCGCTCAGAGGAAGACGGCGTGCCACAGGCCGAGAGACGGGGACGAGCCGCTGCACTGGGACAGAGGTTAACGCCACGCCGGCCGGACCCGCCCGCTCCTCACCGTCCTGGTGGAAGTGGTTTATTTTCTTTTCTCTTTCACCAGGTTCTACGACGAGAGAACCGAGATGTTGATGCCGCCAAAGTGTGTTGAACTGTAGGTGAATGAACACCGTTCTGTGCAAGAATTCAAGTCTTTATGAGTGATACTCATTTTCTTTTTCTGTTTTCTCGTCTCAGGTCCCCCCCACAAGGTGTAATTGTTTCAAGATAATGTGTTTAAATAATATTTAGAGCACCAGGTGAAATGCACAGCACAAGGAACCTTTGTTAAGAATAATTTGAAGAGGATCTGTATGAAGACACTGCCTCGCACTGTTCATGGTTATGAATCTCACACACGGGCAAATGGGCTGAAAGGTTGTTGCAGGTGGTGTGCCACAGTTTGGGGCCAGTCCAATAAAAATGTTCATTATTTAAGCTTTGTGTCGAGTCCTTTCACAGCTTGTACCTTCCTATGAAGTATTTGTACTTTATTCCATAACAAAGAAACTTTATCTGGGAAACAGATTTTTTTTTTTATGCTGCTTTTCTTCTGCCAGTAATTGAGATTTGTGGTAAATCCCTTTGGAACCAGATAAGTTCTGTCCAGTGATTTGAATGCGAAACGTGTCGCGTATGAACGGTTTCTCAGTAGATTTCTAACCCTTTGGAAATCCACAATTGTCCGTTTCAAGTAAATACCACATGTTCTGCTCCTGTAGTCTTTTTAAAAGTCGTCTGAGACTCTTCTATTTTACTATTTAATTGGCCAAATGATGAATTGAGAAAATGACCAATTAATCGATAAGAATCATTTGTTGCAGCACGCTTATCTATTGAACCCAATGAATAAAATAAACCAAAAGTGTTTTCAGAGTCAAATAGCAGAACGTGGTGTTCTGGTGAGTAGATATTATAGATTTGAATGAACCAGCATCCGTGCACAGAAAACACAAGTAGCCGGTTATTCTTCATGTGAAGCACCGTCTCTTGACGGTCAAACCTGCTCCTCAGGTTGAGTGAACCACACGCTAAGGTCACGTATGTGTCACCTGTGTCATAACGCTTGCAAGCTGCAAGGTCCGTTTCCTTAATTGAAGCCAATCGGGATCTTCTTTTTTTTTTACCTGCCTACTCTGAATCTGTTGTGTGCTTTTCCTCAGGTGAGCTGACGCAGCACAGTGGGCGGGAACGAGAGGGACGCTTTTCATTGGCTGTTAAAGAAGGTCGTTAAACTCTTAATTGACCTCCAGCGTGGCACAGAGTTAAATCTAAACCTTGAAAGCTCAGCCGCTCGCTCAGTAGTTTGTGTCTCTTTGAGTTTGTGCAGCTTTTGTTGTGTTATCAGGAATAAAGAGAAACGCACTGCTACCCGCCAACAAAGAAGGAAAAGATCCAAACGACTATTCCCCAACTCTCGTCGGACATGGAGGCAGCCACGTCCGCCTTCCAGCACTCCTACGGTCTGGGTCCGCGCTACGCAGCCCAGCAGGGCCACGTGCCGCACCCGGCCTCGGCGCCGGGGCCTTCGGGCGCGCCGCGTCCCGAGGAGCCGCCGCAGCAGCAGCACCACAAGCCTTTCTTCTACATCCAGCCCTCGCAGCCGTACATGCCCATGCAGAGCATGCAGTGGCCGGTGCCGGTGCCGGTGCCCATGCATGTGCCCTACAACCCGTACTACCCGGGTTTAGGTGAGTGGCACTAAACTTGTGCCGCATGTTGTGTATCTGGCCCCCTTTTTGTGTTGCATATGCAATTAATGCAGTGAAGTGCCTCAAAAACAATCCTCCTTTACAACATTTATGCTTAAATGCTATCGTAGGTAATCTCTGCTCAAACACTGCAGTTTTCAGAAAATGGGGAGGTTGTGGAAGTGGTTTATGGCCAATAAGGACCTTTTTTAGTCTCATTTTAAACATCTGAAATCTCTTTTTTTTTTTTTTTAAATTTTTTATAAACCTTTTTACCTTTTGACCTTTCCTCTGCTTTTAAAGGTTACGGCCTCCCCATGATGCCCCACTATCAGCCCAACCCCTACATGGAGCCCCCCGGGTTCGTTGTGCCCACCACCCACCTCCATTTGATGGACTACCGCCGCATGCTCAACCCCCAGTACTACCAGACCATGGCCTACCACTCCCGCCGGTTCCGCTACCAGCAGAACACCCCGACCAGGGAGACGACCAGCTCGGAGGTCCAAACCGAGCCGCTGTCCGCCGCCCAGAAGGCCGGCGCCTCGGGTGCCGGCGACGTGCCGGTTCCCGTCGGCCTCCCGGTCCGCAAAGGGGGTGACGACCGAACCCCCGGCGTCTCCGTCAAGGGGCTTCCCTCGCCGGCCCCGTCCACGCACAAGTCAGACCCCGTTGCGGACCAGAAGGACGTGGCTGGACCCGGCTCCGTCCCCAGGAAGCAGCCGGGCGGCAGCTTCGTGTTCCAGACGGAGGAGGTGCGGATCGAATGCTGCAGCACGCCGGTGGGACTGCAGCTGCTGCACGCTCACGAGACCAAAGAGGTGTCCCACGGCTTCACCCAGGACGTGGTCCAGCGCAGCGGCCCCGTCCTCCAGGGTTGGCGGGACGAGGAGAGCTGCGTACCCAGCGAACAGGCCCTCCAAGCCTGTCCCGACAGCATGTCTGTCGGCGAGACGCCGCCGCCGACGGAAGAGCCCGAGACTCCGGTGGATCCTGTCGTTGTTTCATCGGACGACGACAACGACGACTCCCGTCCGCCGGCTCGCAGCGACGTTCAAGAGACTAACGACGAGAAAGACCCGTCCGAGACTTGCCCCTTCAAAGTCGTCCACCTGCCCTTTGACCCAAAGTACCTGGACGAGCTGTGGAAGATGGAGTCCACGGTCTGGTCCATGAAGGAAACGGCGAGTCCCTCCTCGGAATCGCTGATCCAAAACAGCCGCCCGGAATCTCCTGACGGAATAGAAGACGTCTCGCCCGTGATTGGGACTCCCCCCGTGGCAGAGGACGAACTGGACGACATGGTCACCGCTGTGGGGGAGCGTCCCGGGGACGAGGTGGCGTCAGAGGCCGACGCGTGCCCCGCCATGGACGTCCCCGGCGCGGCGGAGGCTCCTGCGATGCCGCTCCCCGCCGCGGACTATTCGCCGCTGAAGGCGAACGGAAACGAGCACCAGGACACGTCCTTCGAGTCGCTGCCCGCCTACCTGCCGTCGACCAGCTGGCTCGCTGACTTCGACAACGTCTACTATTGCGGCACGATGCCGCCAACGCCCACGAAGCAAAGCAGGCCTGCGGGCGGCCGGGGCCTGGACATGCCCGCCAGGAGGCGGCGGCTGGACCTCGACTGCAAAGGCCAACTCGCCGTTCGGAAGCCGAAAGAAAGGTACAAACTCAAAGGGAAGGCGGATCGCCGAAGCCTCTCCGACCACGAGTGCTGCCTCAGCCGGAGCTTCAACGAGAACGCCTTCGCTCCCCACGCCTCCAAGAGGGAGCGGCTTTGCTCCAGGTGCGTGGCCAGGAGCGGCGTGTGCGAGCCCGCCGGGCCGACGCTCGACGGTCGCGCCCCGAAGAGGAAAGCCGCCGTCTTCCAGCAGTGGAACGACCCGCTCCTGCCCACGTGCGACGCCTGCAGATCGCACTCCGAAAAGAAAAGGCTGGCGAGGAAGGGCTCCGGCCCGGAGGCCCGATGCCCTCCCCGCGGGCGCGACTCTGAGGGGGGCGAGTCCTCCGAGAACGGCGGCAAGTGGAGGGCCGTCGCAGAGCGCCGCGGGAAGCCGAACGTCACCAAGATGCCGCTGGCGTCCAAGCAGAACCTGGAGAAGCCGAGGGAGAAGAACTGCACGTGCAGCGAGCGCCGGTCAGTCGCGTGGGAGAGGCTGCGCCGCTGTCCCCACGGCAACGCCATCCGGGAAACCGACGAGAACCGCGCGGCGCCGGTGTCCCTGCAGGACAAACGCAGGATAATGGATCACCTTTATCCAACACACAGGTGGCAGACGGGTAAGGAAGGGTCGCTGCTTTCCCTTCACCTTCTAGTGAGAGAATTGACGCGTGTTTTTAGAAATGCAGATGTGTGACTTCTCACTCCAGAGAACGTGTGGAACGCAGCCATCGCTCACCCCGACAGCGACGCCGCCAGGACGCCGCATTTTAACAACCACAAGAAATCACAATCACAAGGTCTGCTTTTCTCTTCAAACTTCAAAGCTTTTTTTTATTGCATTTTAATACAAATGTTGCTGAATGAAGGAAAGGTATTAATCAGCTTCTCATCAACCCAGTAGATATTTATCACTTTTCCTTATTCAAAAGATCCCTTGTTCCTTTAGAAGCACTTTATTTGCCGTATAGTTCAATCAACGTTTCTCTACTTTTACGTTTTTACGATAATTATTTTCTCTTTACAGGAATTTGTAGGAAAGACACAAGATGCTGATTTGCACAAGAGCACAATGTAAAAATGACACTTTTTAACTATATAGATATTTATTATGTACACTTGAATTAAATTATTGCCACCTGAATGAACTGTATAATCACAATATGACACTATTTAACATAATAAACATCACTATTTGATACTTCTGTTGGTCCTTTTTCTATGAAGTTTATGGAGTTGTGTTTGTCCACCAGATGGAACTATAACATTAAATATTTAATGCTGATTTAAGACCGTAGCATTTCCTTTAAGATGTGCTTTCGTCAATCGAAGTATCTGCAACAGTTTGGAGGGATTGAAGTGAAACCACCTGTGACTTCGTCCCTCAGGTGGACGCATCACATCCAGTTTGCACATGATTCAATAAACGAGTTTACTTTGATCATAAAACTCAGCATCTTACCTGAAGACTTTAGTGTACCGACGTGTTCAGGTGAGTCTAAGCTGCGACCAGGATTTAAGTTTTAGCTGTTTAAACGGAGCAGTATTCTTTAACCCAAACGTAACTAAAATATCTCCTTCAGGTGATCTTCATAGTACCCGGAGGATGAATCCTACCGAAGTAGTTTTAGAGGAAATGTTTCCACATGTACTTGATGGATTGCCATGAAATATGGTGTCAACGTTCAAATCTTCCTCAGGATTTCTTTTAATAACTTGGCCTTGGATCCATTACCTGACCCCCCCCCCCGGTTGAGCGATATTGCCGCTTCAAAGGAAAAATTAACAATTACAAATGCTGTAAATGAATCATGGGCTGAACTGTTAAAGTTCATCTGGCGTTCAAGCCTTTTGGATCAGATAATTTTACCAATGAAACAGGTAATGTGTCCTTTTCTGGCTGCAAGTTGAAACCCCCCCCCCCCTTTTTTTTTCCCAAAAGTATTTGAGAGGTTCCTTGACGCCCCTGATGGGATGAAGGGAGGCCAAACGTGATTTCCCTCCACGATGGTGTTTTTTCTTGAGATTGGACTGCTTGTCTCGTATCTGGTCGACTCGGTTCCCGCTTCAATCTTCATGACGGCGGCTTTATGAGTGAATGTAAAAGACGTAATTGGGGGGGGGTCCATGTGTTCCGATGTATGGACCCAAGGAAGTGCTTTCTTTTGTGTCTTTGCAGCAGTCGGTTGAGTCTTCGTAATCATTTTGTGTGTCTGGCTGTTTTTCCCCTTTGACTATCGGAGTCGTTTCTTTCTTTGTCGTTGCATTGGGTGTCTTTGTAGTCTCTTTGCTTATTTAAGAATGAATTCTTTTTCATTTTAAAATAGAGCGCATCAGGAGAGCAACATGAGCGCATGTGTCCTCCACACCGACACCCACGGAACATCTAAATAAGAATATTGAGCCTGAATGAGGCTGCGGCGACAAAACGCCTCGTTCAGCGGACCTGAAATAACACATTTTATTCTTCGGCCTCAGGAGAGTCCACGCGTGAAGGTCCCTGCAGTCTGAAGGACATGATGGATGCTCCTCTGAAGGCTCCCTTCTGTCATCCAGACGCCCCAATTAGAGGCCCGGCCACGGCTGGCCACTCCGGGCCGAGAGGCGGCGGGTGGAGGAGGGAGGCGGCGGGTGGAGGGGGGGGTGGCAGCGTTTTTCATGACGCGTTCCTGTGTGGCTCAGTGGCACATTGGCAGCGTTAGAGGGTTCGATTTCCACCGGGCTTTGTGCACGAGCAGTATGAGCATTAACTGTTTCATTTCCTGTGGATCAATAAGCTCCATCTCGGGGGGAAAAACAACTTTTTAGATAAAAACTGATTAAAATATGTTGCATTTAAATGAAGCTCATCACGTTTATTTGTCACTATTTTCAAACACCTAAGACACCTGTATCTAAGTGTTTCCTAAGGTCAACATGCTCGGTGCTGCACGGCGGCTCACGAGTTCCACCCGTAAATGTCAAGGGAGCACCCCCCCCCCTCCCCTTCGGAGTGGGGGAGGAATACCCCTCTCGCCCTCTACAACTTAGAGAGACCTCAGAAGAAGAAAGAGGCGAGTTCGCGAGCGGCATTGTCTCTTGAAATATGCCTCCGAGCCCAAGAGGGGAGGCCGCAAGCCCCGATAAGTTGGCTTCTAAGCTGTAAAACAGTTCATCACGACCCCCCCCCCCCCCCCCTCCCCCCCTCCCCACACACCTGGCTGCAGGCTCAGCATTTCCCTCCCCCGACGAGGGAGATAGATGGATCGACTCGCGCTCTTACTACCCGCAGCTTTTACACTTTAATGTCTGTCACTTGACAGATGACCTGTGTTCATGAGGCGCACGCCGCCGCCGCCGCGCTGAACCCTGCAGAATGAGTCCTTTCAGTGGTGGGGGGTTGGTATCTGGGGGGGTGGATTTGTTGTTTTCTAAGGCCGGCAGGGCAGACGTGTGGTTCAAGCCGAGCTCGCTGCTACACAACGTGAATACAGATCTGGTTTACGGTCAGTGTGCGTTTCCTGAACCTGCACTGCGGCGCATGATGTTTCAGCACGTTTGAGTTTGTTCTGAGAGAAACGGGCAGCGGCGTCGCTCCATCCGACGTTTCTTATCGACATGACGAAGAACAACTTTTGTTTGTTTCCACTCTCGTAAAAAGCTCTCCGCTGCACACGTGGCGTGGCCTTAAGGGCCAGCGGGCAGGAATGGAACATTATTACTGATGTCAGCTGGTTGCAATCTGTAACCTCACGTTAGACGGAAACGATTCTCACATTTCACCCACAAAAGGACTGTTTGTGTGTTGTATTTTCCAAAATAGTAATTAAATGCTAAAGCGGGTTGAAACTGTTCAAATCCATTTGGATTCTTGTAATTTAGCCGACTGAGCTTTATTAAATGTCACAATACGATAAGTGAAAATCATAATCATCATTTTATGGAGGAAATTCTGAGAAATGAACACAAGATCGTACCTGAAAAAAAAGAAAGTAGACATTCATGTCGCGTGCACAGACTCGAGCTGTTTCCACACGCAATGAACATTCAGACACGGAAGGATCATTGTGATGCAGATGGAGAGGCGCTTATGAAAAGGCACCGAGCCGCGGGACTCCTCGCCATAAATGTCACCACATTGACTTGTTGACTTCCTGGCGTGAGACTCTTTGGATAGCGAGCCGCTGGTGGAGTTTTTCTACCCGCAGGTAATCAGCACGCCGTCTCAGTTGGAGCCTTTTCCCCCCCCCAACAAACCCAGCGGGGGGGGGGGGGGGGCGCCAGCATGACCTCACTCAGGAAGGAGGGGAAGGCAAACACATGTTGCAGGGGAGCGGATTGTCAGCAACACGCTCCAGATGTGGCCATCGGGAGAAAGGGAGGCCTGTGAGGCCGCAGGTAGACCTCCTCCTGCTCGGACCTGAACCAGAACCAGAAGCTTGTGACCTACTTCCTGTTGCTCATCATGTGGAAAAGAGTCAACGGAGGGTTTCACCCTGAAACATTTTTTAAATTTCGCTCGATGGTAAGAAATACGTTTCTATCCCACAAATGTACCCAAAAGAAAGCTGCGAAAAAATTCCCAATCCGAAGGGTTGATAGTCAAATTGTTGTAAATGAGATAAATAAAAAAAATCGATAGAAATGTATTTATTTGGATGAACAGGACTTGAAATGTTGAGCGGTGCAGAGTGAGATTCTGTACAGGAGCATAGCTACAAAAACACAAAATGTATATTTTTACTTTTGAGGAAACTTTTGTTTCCTGTGTTTCAAAGAACATTGTTGTCCAACGGAAATACAGATTAACTACACATCTGGATCCTTAAAGGAACGATAGTTTCTCTCGCTGAAAGCTGATGAAAGATCACAGATGGCACCAAAGCGTCTGGCATGTGGTCAGAGAGCTGCACCCAAAACTCCACTGTGCTGTTTTCCTTTCTTTGAAAACAGAAAAAGGATTATTCCCGCTGCGAACAATCGCGCTTCCACAACCTCATCTTAGTCACGTTTATCTCTCCGCGGCTTCTCTCTCCCAGCAGACGTGTTGCCATGTCAGCTGAAGCTGATCCTCGCGGTATCCTCCAGTTAAATAAGTTCAACCCTTTAAACTGTGATGATCACGAGCAAACGCTAGATTTGCGTTTGGTGCCTGTTGACAGGAGATATGGAGCATTTCCCTCCGGCTCAGATAATCCTCTCTGGATGGGAGGTATCTGGCGGAGACGCCACGCCGCCCCCCCCCCCCCCCCCCCGCCGTGGATTAGAGGAATCGGAGGCCAAGGGGAGCGATGGAGACGATCAGCCGAGGTGTGAAAGTGCACAAATTCGCTGTCACGGATTCGGTCGATCTCAAAATGCATGAAATCTCTGCCCGGAGATTGTCTCATAAAAGGTCATTAGACGCTGCAGGAGGCCTGAGATTCTCAAAAATAAAGAGGGGGGGGGGGGGGGGTACAATGTGTGTGTGTGTGTGTGTACACAACGTTTCATATATTCCTCCACCATATTTCCACTTAGTAGTAGAAGTGAAGGTCAGAAATAAGAAGCGGTCGGCCTCAAAATTCCATTTCTGCTTCATTTCCAGGAGGCGACTGAGATGTTAATATTTCCTCTTATACCTTCATTTCATACTTAGCTGACATGAAGCCCCCCCCACCCCCCCCAAGTCGATCACCCCACTGCCTGGGGGAGAGAGAGAGCTAATTAGACACAGAGAGCGGGCGAGATAAGAGATTTGGCGGGACACAAAGGTGTCGTGTCTTTTCTGGAAGGACGTCTTATAGTGTGACTCCTGCTCCGTTCCCTTCAGGGCGTTTTACCCAAAATGGCGAATGAAGTGAACCACAGACGGACGCTGGCTTTAAATGTGTGAGAAATATTCCATTCAACTTTTCTTCCAATGTGGAAAGAAGCTCCGTGTTCCAACCACGAAGAGAAGGAGCACGCTTGATCGGACCGACTGGAATGTGCTCTGAACTCGTTGGCTTCAAAGACGAAGAAGAACCTGGCGGTTTACATCACGGTTGCTGGGGCAACGCGGCAAAACAGTGGAGATCTAACTCAAAGGCGTCGTTTGAAACGGCAGCGAATAACAAAGCCAGAAGAGGTCGTTGTATCTGCGATTCTAAGAGTCTGAGATTCACCTTTCCCCACTTCCTGTTGAGTGAGTAACGCACTTATGAAGAAGTGGACTTCATTGGTCTTCTGTTCGGCGAGTTT